GGTGATTTTTTAAACCATTAGGTATTAAACTGATATTTTCCAGTGAAAAAAGTTTGAAAAAATGATAGTTTTCCCCCCAAAGTGCAAATTCGTATAACATGATACACCAAATCAATTTCAGTTCCCAGTTACCCTAAATCCCAAATCACAAACAAAGACCCCCAAATCGCGAACCAGACACAATTCCTTGCTGTGAAATCGGTAATCTCCGTTGCCATCTCCGATCTCAACAACCAGAAAAAGAGGCCCGAAATCGTAAACACTTTGAAAATCTCTTAAACTTCCAGGTTAGTTTGTGCAGTTTATGTTTTTTTTTTTTTTGGGNAGGAAGATTTAAAGTTTAAAATATACAGAAAAGTAGGAAACTAATTAACAAACACAGTTAGCAGAAACTAAAAGGTGTTACAAAACTAAAAAGCCTAAAAAGTAGGAGTTGACTTGGTCTTGATTCTTGAGTGCGTCCAACCTCTTTATCCAGCACAACAAAAACCTGCAGACCCCAATCAAAAGCTCTATGCTCTTGTGGTACTTTCTGATCTCTCTTAAAGCCACAGTTCCCAGCCTGAAATGGTGCGGCTTCTTCACTCCTCCCGTCGCTGAAGCTAACTTTCGAGCAGTTCTTGGCTAGCTGCTTAAGTAGCGCCTTGCCTCTGGTGGACTTCCTTGCTGTTTGAGTGTTTGTTTCGTGCAAGCCATTTGAAAGGTTGATGATTGAAAGAGTGGTTTTCTATTTAGATTGAGGCTGAGGAAGTGCTGAACTGGCGACGGTGGAGAAGATGGAGTTGAGTTTGTAATGTGATTATGTTAGAGTTAGGGATTTGGCATTTATTTTTTTTATTTATTATTTTTAAATTTCAAACGGGTACTCGCGGGTGTACCTAGACTACTTATTTACAAAACGGGCCAAGCCAAGTACGGGTCCAAAAAAATGGGTCCAGTCTTAAGGACCCATACCCTATATTATTTACTCGGGTATGGGTCGATCCTTGGGTAAGGACCCGTTTTGCTAGGTCTAATGTCAGCATGATGATGTCATTCTAACCTCAACATGACATATAAAAAAATAAAAAATAAAAAGCGGTTCAACCGCTGCGTCGACTGGTTGGACTGGCGGTTTGTAACAAAAAATCCGGTCCAACCACATATCAAACTGGGTCATTTGAAAATTTCAGTTTTTTAGTTGAACCGACCAGGCTCAATCACCAGTTCCTGGTTCAACCGGTTGAATCGACCAGGCCAGGCGAGGTTTTAAAACCATGGTCATCGCCCCACAAGTTATGCTGAGCTACAACTCGCTCCAAGTTGATCGCACATCCTCGTATAACAAAACTAAATTACGACCCTATGGGACATTTTACATGGTTTTGTCCCTTTTTAATTTGAACCATACATTGAATTCGTACGTAGGCAATTGAATCAGGATTCAATCATACATTATAAGTTGTGATAATAAACTCTAAATAATATTCGAATGTCTCTCCTAATTGAATCAGCATAATCTTTTACGTAAGTTATGATCATGGAATATCGGAAGTGAATCCATGATCATTAACTAATGAAGATACTTGTACGTCAAAATTGCAGAAATAGTTCAACATATTCCTCTGCAATGCAATAACTGAACTGGTTTCTCTATGAATGAGCCAATAAAATATTGAAGGATCTCAGTTTCAAGGAACACATAGCGGAGGTCACGTGAGAAAGAAGCATCGACGCTGGCCATGATATTATCGTATTTTAAAACACTGTTTAACCATTAGATTATTCATTGAAACTGTACTATGATTATCGATTTGTGCAGTGAGATTAGATTCTGAAGGAGAAGATTAATCGACAATTTGACATTAGAAAAAAGTTCAATTTTGTTTAAACCTTANAATATCGGAAGTGAATCCATGATCATTAACTAATGAAGATACTTATACGTCAAAATTGCAGAAATAGTTCAACATATTCCTCTGCAATGCAATAACTGAACTGGTTTCTCTATGAATGAGCCAATAAAATATTGAAGGATCTCAGTTTCAAGGAACACATAGCGGAGGTCACGTGAGAAAGAAGCATCGACGCTGGCCATGATATTATCGTATTTTAAAACACTGTTTAACCATTAGATTATTCATTGAAACTGTACTATGATTATCGATTTGTGCAGTGAGATTAGATTCTGAAGGAGAAGATTAATCGACAATTTGACATTAGAAAAAAGTTCAATTTTGTTTAAACCTTAAGTACATCGAAACCAATTAGCATTAAACTCGAGAACTAGACGTGATCATATCGAGGAACATTGAGAAATTAAGTAAGTCTTTGATCAATGAATTTGATCGACCAGTAGGATTATTACACTTGTCCAATGATGAGGGAGTTACACATTTCGATTCTTCTTCTTTAATTTAATGAACTTGTTTTTTGGTATTACATTTGCTTTCTCTGGGCTTAATTAGTTAATTAATTACTTTGAAGAAATTTATGATTTAAACTGCGCATGCAAGATCTATATACTGGCCCTGAAGATCTTGAACAGCTAAGCGGACGATCATTAACCAGTGTTAATTTGTTGTTAAAAACAAATTATAAAACAAAAAGCCAATCCCCAGTCTGCATGCGTTTCATGTGTTTCAAATCATAGTTATATCTATCTTATTCTTGACTAAATAACCTTATTAGTTTAAGTATATGTAAAATCAAAATATTTTTCATAAATTACAAAAATAAAATAAAAAATACACATATATAACGGAATTATTATAATATAATGTCATATCTTTCAGTGAGTCGATTTTTTGTCCTAAGACCTTCTGTTCAATAAAAAATATATTAATTTAAAATAATTAAGTAAACGACATTTTCCCACCTAAATAATGGCTTAATAACACTTTTCTACTCACAAAATTCTAAAATATTATTTTACAACCCAATTCTGTATTCCATTTCTGATTCCGGCATCGTTGTGACTCCACACCACCACCATTCTATTCTCTAATAATCATTCACCAAAACCCCTTAAACTCTACTCCCGTCAACCCCGGTAATCATCGACAATTGAGCGATTAAGATTTGCGCAACCGCTTTTCTCAAGTCAAATTCTTATCAATCTCAACTAAGGGTGTAAATCAAGCAACTCAGCTCAGCTTTGACTCGAATTTGTCTCAACATTAGTTGAGTCGAGTTAGAGTAGCTTGAATAATCTCATGAGTCAAGTTTGATCACCATATAAAAAGCTCGAAAAACACTACTAAAACTCGATTATCAGAGTTCGAATTCGACTTTTAGGTATTGAGTTCGAGTTCGAACTCGGTTCATCAGGCTCGACAAGGCTCGTACTCAGTATTATAGCAACCAAGTCGAGTTCGAGTACCCAGATACTCTACTCCATTTCACTCCTAATCTCAACCACCAACATCCAACTTTTTCCTATCAAAAGACTCATTGATCTCCTCTCTTCAAAAACCCCAATAGTTTGGATCGATTTGACTCTCTGTTCGTTATCGGAATATAATTTGTGTAATAAAATAGTATTTTAAAAGTCTGTAGGTATGAAAGTGTTATTAAGCCATTATTTGGGTTGGGAAAAAGTGGTTTTACTCATTAATTTATAGGATTTTATCGTTTTTATTTTAAAATCTCCTTAATCGACTGTAAATCAGTTGGGCTGATCAATCTTTCCTGCCTTCCCAATCTATATTTTAGTCAAACAACTTCCGTGGTCCAAAGATAAAACCGTCCACCTTGTTTAGAAGTAATTAAACACAACTAAATCCACAGCTTTTAGGGCAAAAACAGCTGTATAACAGGTCAAAACTGATTAAAACCAGGTAAAAAGAAATTAATTAACAAATAAGCATTGGATTGGACTGTACAACTGTGATATGAGTCGGCAGATACTGACCATACTAATTACTAATTAGAGAACCCAGCTGCCTTTTTATGCATGCTATAAATTTGCTAACTCAGCGTAAATTAATTAATAATTAATTATAGATTTTTGTTTCTTAATTAAAATATTAATCTTAATCTTTCTAACCCATGATCCAACCCCACATTTCACGTTTAAAGCACGTGACACCTAATTGCACGGCATGACTGTTAAGTTAAACACTTTCCTCTGTCCTCAGTCCTACTCCTCACCCATTTTGCACTGATAGAGAAAGAGACGTTTCAATTCAAACTTCCATGTGCTTCCCCTTCCTATTGCTAAGATCCCCCACCATTTCTCTAACCACCCACATTAATTTAACGTAACACACAATTCAAGAAAAACAATTAATTTTCTTTTTTTTTCCTGTATTTCCTTTTATAAAATCTCAACCATATATTACTTTATACTAAAAACTTTCCATTTCTATTCAATGATTGGAACTCTTTTCGGGTCATAGTTTTCTAAAAGAGTAAACGACTTTTTCCCACCCATGGTTTGCCTTAATCACACTTTCCCACCTAAAAGTTTCAAAATACCATTTTTCACCCAAAATTAGTATTTCATTACTACCCAAACCCAATTTCGACGGTAAGAATTCTCTTTATCACCACCATTTGAACCTCCTATCTATTCTTTACAAGACTCATTTCACTATAACACCTAATCTCTTGTCGATTGTCGACCATTACAAACTTAGAACTTTCTGTTCTTAGCTGATTTTCGGCTAATTCTAACGATGAATATTTAATTGGTCACCACCATTCGATCCATCAACCTTTACTCTGAAAGAAGCCCTCTTATTATGACTTTTAGTAACTTGTTAAACATCGATTGAGAAAATAAAGTATATTTTAGATATTAACGAGTTAAAAGTGTCCCTAAGGCAGACCATGGGTGAGAAAAAGTCGTTTACTCTTTTCTAATATTGTAAAATAACTTAATTATAATTTATTTGATCAACAAAGAGTGGCATGTGTTTAAAACACTCAACCACAGCGCGTGAAGTCAAACAAATACCATCCATTGTTGAAGACTTGAAGTGTCGAATAAGTTATTATAAGAAACACCCATCTAACTCGTCTTTCAGTTTTTGCTTTCAAGACTTTGTTTTCTCTCTTTCTATACCGAAAATTAATAGTTTGATTTAGTTGATGACGTAGCAGCAGAGATGGGGAGGAGAAGAGAGAAAGATTCATCAAGATCTCAAACTCTACCACCCTCACCATCCCACTCTTTTTCTTCATCGTCCTCCTCAGACTTTGAATTCACCATTTCAATCTCTCCACGCAACAAGTCTTCTTCAACTCTTTGCCCCGCCGATGAGCTCTTCTACAAGGGCCAGCTCTTACCCCTCCATCTCTCCCCTCGCATCTCCATGGTCCGTACACTCCTTCTAGCTTCCTCGAGCACCTCCTCCTCCTCCGACACAACCACCACCGCCTCACGTGACTCCACCGGCAGCGCCTCTTCTCAGGAATCCAACTCCTCCTTCACCAGCGACCTTGTGTTGCTTGCTGAGTGTGACTCGTCACGACCCAGTTCAGTTACCGAGGACGACGAATTCAGAAGACTGAATGGTAACCAGAGTTTTCAAAGTCAGATCAAGAAAAACAAGTACTTCTCTTTGTCAAGATTCTCATCCGTGTTTAAAAAGGAGTCGTCGAAGAGTCGTGACCCGGATAACATGTCTAGTTCTTCCGTAAAAAGAATGAGCACGTCCGCGAAAGAGGTGATAAGAAAATATTTGAAGAAAGTGAAGCCATTGTATGAGAAATTATCTCAAAAACAACAGCAAAAAATGGGAGGAGGATCAGTAGCAGCAATAAAAGCAGAGAGATCTGTAAGAGATATAGACATATACAGCAAGAACGCAGTGAAAGAAAGTAGTAGTGGAATTTCCCACTCTTTCTCCGGAAATCTAAGGTACCCAAGAAGGAGAAGCTGTATTTCAAGCTGTCCGTCGTCGATGAGGTCATCGCCAAGTCACTCAGGAATACTTTCTCGAAGTGGATTCTCAGGTGTGAGTGGGGGCCACTACTCTTCAAATTCATCGACAATGGAGGAGTTGCAGAGTGCAATTCAAGGTGCAATTGCCCACTGCAAGAACTCCATGAACAAGAGCTTGGTCAGTAATGAAATTTGAGATTAATAATTATTATTATTATTATTTAACAGTGCGATATTAATATATCTCTTTTGTCTGATACGGCGTCGTGGGATTCTGAAGTGACTCTAACGTGAGGTGGTAAAAGTTGCATGTGAAGTTATCGTTTCATTTTGGAATATTATTGTCTCTACTCTTAACTTCAAGTCTTGGAATTTGTAACTTTTAGGTTTTTTCCTTTGTTTTTAATTCATAGCAAAACCCACTTTACGTTTGCCCTCCTTTTTTTTTGTCCGTTTCTCTTTAATTGTATCTGTTCTCTACATGAAAGAATTGGCTTTCGGGCCTGAAAATTTGGCTGCCATTCAGCACTCTGATCAAAATGTACATATTATTATTATTTGAAATAGAAGTCTGAGTTTGGTTATTGGAATCATCCATGTGCGTGAGAGTTAATGAAGCTTCAAGGCTTCGATAAGACGGTGGTATACTGGTATTTATTACTCTTTGTGAGACATACCATTTAAGTTTTGTATTAATATTTCAAATTTGAATTGGAACTCTCTATTCATATTCAACGAGTGTAGCTGTGTAGGGCCTTAACAATTTTGAATAAATTTTTAAATTTATATAAATTCGTATAATTAATTAAGAGTTCAAATCTACTTCTATAGAGATTCAAAATGCATATATAAAGCTTACATGTATCTCGAAGGATTAATTTAGATATGCATAAACTTAACCAAATACCTCATCATTAAAAAAAAAATAATAATAATAATAACTATATATTAATAACTTTAATTATCAAGGAAATTTTTTTTTCCAGTGAGTTGCAAGTCAACTCATTATGATTAGCGTCAACATCATGTGATGCCAAATTATTGAATATATGGTTCCTCAAAAGTAAAATGAAACCATGTGACATCTTGGAATTTTGCCATAAATATGTAGTTTATATGAAGTTTGACAATACATGTGATTAATATGATAAAACTATTAATTACAATTAGCAAAATAATCCGAAATGTGAAGACTGAAGAGTGCATGAATTTAGATGGACGGTTCTCGTGAGTAGAGAACTTGACGCGCGGTTGGCTCCCTTGAGATTGAAGGCTTGGGGTTCGTTGATGTTTATTTGTGTGGATGGAACAGGGGCAGCATGGTAGCTAATGGCACAGTACTGATACGGAAAATTTATGATGAAATGATAACCGTACATTGGCAGTGATTTGTCTAGTAGTGTAATTTGATTCGGTGTGCGTTCAGAAATCAGAACGGATACAATGGACTAGTCATCATCGCTGATCTGTAGATCTTTTCAAATCTAACTTATATAGGGGGGGTCCACATCTAGGACCTACTTATATTTCTACGTGCATATATACTTTGAATTCTGAAGCCCCGTTGATCCTTGAGCCTTTGACCCATAAGTCATCACGTCAGTACATACACGTATTCATGTCAACATTAACGGTAAAATCTTATAACCGCGATAAACAGAGTTTCAATTTCCTCCTACTTCAGGTTTGAGGAATGTTACAAATGCATCCAAAAAGTTAATTACTTTACCATAATACCCTTCATCTAATTATATATTCTTATGAATTTTATTCTAACTATATAAATAGTATTATTTTTTAATCAATTTTATATAACAAACTATAATTTAAATAAATATATAACTAGTTAAATTATTATTTAATTTTATACAATAAACTAAAAAGTAGAAAAACCCAAACCTTGAGGAGGAAATTGTTATAAATTAACCAACCCTAGGTAACCGAGTGTTTCAATAGAGACTCTTTAGTGTATTACTCAAGAGGTCTTGAGTTTAAGTCTCTCTTCGGGTGCTAATAGAGTAATAGGGATGACAACTAGAGTTCTTATCTGATCGATAGTTTCAGGATCCGAGAGATTAATTGAGGTGCGCATAAACTGGACCAGATACCCCCAATCATAACAAATAAAAAAATAAAAAAATTGTTATAAATCCGCAATAGACACGTTATGAGAACTGTCATATTGGCTTTTGTAATTAGCAATTTCCGTGGCAAAGCAAAATAAGTACATAAAGTTTGATAGGAATTTTAGTTTGATGTTGTAGGCATGACCTATACTATTAGTTGAGAGGGACAAGAAGATAAATGGTGATAATCAGTAGGTAGCCACCCACTAGAGAGATTAAGAGTTTATCCCATTACTGCTGTTCTTAAGCTTATCATAATTAATACTGTTCTTATTCTTAAGGATCAATTATAGTGTTTGATGCGTCTCAAACACATTCTACCTACGTGTTGTTGCGTTAACCACGCCATAAATTGCTGTCCTTTTAACTTAATTTTGTGTCTCTCTTGCTGATTGAGAAATATACCAGAACCGGCCAGATCAGTCGACCTAATATTTGTCTGTTTATAAACTCTTTTTAGTAATTCTTTCATACGTAATAAAAATATCACGTGATAAAATTTACATAAAAAACTTTTTTTGGTATATTCACGAGAAGCCAGCGAAGCCAACCCAGATAACAAGTAAACGATATGATAATAAATCTCCGATTTGAGGAGGAGGAGGAAGATGAAGATCTGGAAGTGTAAGCAGGCAGGTCACATGGTAGAGCAGAAGTAAGTACTGAAATGGAGGTGGTCCTGCCCTTCTTGTTCACGTGGCTGGGCCTTGTGTACATGTTAAACAACGCCATTTCAGGATTCAGAACTCATTATAGATACCAGTACCTCCATAAAGTCCCTTCATTTTCTACATATATGCATGTGATTAAAAATGAAAACATTCAAGAATATTATTAATATTTACCATGTCAGTTATTTTGTTTATATCGATTAATTATAAAGGTTTTTTTAACTCACGTTCATGATATATATGTATTATACTGTATGATATTATAGATTTTTTTAAATAAAGATCATGTCATAAAATTTGGGAGCTGTCTTTGAAGCCCATTGTATTATAGTTCAAATTTCAACCATCCAAATACGGTTTTCAGTAATACGGAATGGATTAGTTGGTTAATGGCTTAATGCATTTTGGTGTTTCTCCATTTAAAATGGACAAGTATCAATGCAAATTTATTGACAATGCCTTTCGATGGTTCATACAATTAATCCATAACACTCTATCCGTGGAAATTAAAAGAGCCACATTTAACCCCTAGTTTTGTGATCGGTTATCTAGATAGGTTACCCAAAAGTTTTATGTTCGAGTCTCACAAAGTAGTCATTCGCCATATTTGTATCTTATCTGACTTATTGGCTTATAGTCGATGCGCGCAAACTGATTCAGACACTTCGATTATAAAAAAAAGAACCACATTAAAACCCTATTGTCTATTGAGACACAACTAATTGTGAGAAGAATGATTAATCCAACAAGACAAAAAGGAACCCTAATTAATTCATAACTGTTAATTTGGCGAAACGTTAATGAGGGCAGACAAAATAATTAGATTAGGCGGAGCATTAAATTTATTTTTCCCAGCTGCATTTTAATCCCTAATCAGTAATCACCTTACAAGATCCAAGTCTCTAAAGCCATCGACAAAATGTCAAAATAGCTGCCAGTTGAAATTTAATATGTCCTGAACTTTTGTCATTGGTGATTTTAGCATCCGCAGTTGTCATATGAGGACAGATATATAAGATATCTTGTGACTGCATTTGCATGGGTTGTTGTCAAAACTCTATGGTTAATCTATTATAAGTGATAATCACATTAAAACTTGAAGTAGAATTCTGTAAGCCTTGAAGCATAAATAGACCACTTTTGTAGTCATAATTCTGTTGGCTTTAAACATCTTTAGACAAACCCATGAAGTTCTAGCAGGGATAAAGAGTTAAAAAAGTGTCGATCCGAAATAAAACTGTCGTTGGTGTTTGATGATATGCATAATAATTGGTGGTAATTAATAGCAGTAAATCACGAGATCGAATGCAGTTATGATATAAGTCCTTGAAGCTGAACTGTCTCTAAAAAGGACAGCTTATCTCAGTCGTCATAAATGGCTAAGCATAATTAGGTATGCTTTTATGATGAAAGAGTACAATCAAAGTGCATGGTTTTCGCTATCTTTCTCTTGTAATCATCTCCTTCCAACACTTATTTTCCTGTTTAATTCCAGTATAGCTTCATAGAAAATTGTAAGTTTCAGGCTCTAAATATTACTACAAAATAGTGTTGTTTAAGCTACGGCTGCATGCTTGAGGAAGTTCTTTTATGTTTGTCGAACTTGGTAGTGTTTAAAGTTACAGAATGATGAAGCCAAATTCATGAGACCACAATTTCTTATTAAATAATAATTTAATCGTTTTGTCTTCACTCACTAAATAAGTAAATATAGCTTGACACTGATAACTGAGACAATGAAGATTATTCATAATTTCTGTTTCCTGGAGTCCAAAGAGATCACATTGCTCTCAAGGATAATATATAATATTTTATTTATTTATTTAATCATATTCTATTTTTCTTTAAGGGAGAAAAAAATAAAAGAAAAATATTCGATTCCGGTGTATTTATTTTCCAAAGTGTATGGATAAAGATTGATTATAACGATTTTAGTCTTTAGATGTTATTTTGAGCAGGAATAAGACAAAGTCTTGGCCCAATGATGGAGTGGAGCAAGCCTAATCTGGTATTATTCCGTACGTGGCCGAAGCCAATGCTTTTCTCTGGTAAAATTTAGTTGTTCTCTTGAGTAGACTTTAATAGATGATTAAACTGTATGCACCATGACAACATTTTGAGTTTAATTATGTGGTTAGATTCAAAGAATTCTTTTACTTAGTATTGAAATAACTATTTTGTGAATTCTTCCTCTTAACTACTAAGTTTTTTAGATGAATGTTTATTGAATAATTTCAATAAATTAAATCATTTAGTTTTTTACTAGCTGAATCAACTGAAAGTATATATATGTACAAACTTTTAATATGTTTTAGTATAATTAGAAGACTTTAAATTAGAGATAAATAAATGAGTAAACGAACTTTTTTCCACTCAAATAATGGCTTAATGACACATTTCCACCAACATACTTTTAAAATACCATTTTAATATCCAAATTTATATTTTATTTCTAATTCCAGCATTATTGTGACATTACACAACCACTATTCTCTCTCATAATCATCACTCACGACTAAAACTTCTCAAACCTTACTCCTGTTGACCCAGTCAATCGCCAGTAATTAAGCGATTAGGATTTACACAATCGTCCCTCTCTAGTTAAATTTGGATCAATCCTAACCACCAAAATTCAATTTTTCACCATAAAAAAACTCTGCTTATTATTAAAATAAAAATTAAAATAATAAAATAATATTTTAAAACCCGTGAATGAAACAACATCATAAAGTCCGGTTTCTAAATAAATTAATTAAAGTAATAGATATAAAAATATATAGCATCGACACATCAGCCTATAAAAGATAATTGTATGATTAACTTGTTATACATTGGAATTACTCATCTTTATTCTTTAACACAAATTCTCTCTCTTTTGAATTTCAAAATTTAATCCATTGTATTAAACATTAACCATCCAACGTGACTGAAATAATATTGTGAGATATCATGCGATTGTATTCAAAGATTTGGTTGGGAAATGGGAATGGTGGGCATTAAATTAATTAATTTTCAACTTTAATGCAGCCCTAATTCTGACAAGTGGTTGTAGATAATTAGTGATTAGGTTAGGCTATAAGTATACCACTCAAATCAAAACTCCAATTAAAACCAAAGCAGCAAATTCAGGCCACCTTATGATGCCTGTTGTCATTTAGACTAATTAATAATAACTACCTTTCTCGAACCTTGAGTGAACTACAAANCTTTTTTCCACCCAAATAATGGCTTAATGACACATTTCCACCAACATACTTTTAAAATACCATTTTAATATCCAAATTTATATTTTATTTCTAATTCCAGCATTATTGTGACATTACACAACCACTATTCTCTCTCCCAAACATCACTCACCACCAAAACCTCTCAAAACTTACTCCCATCGACCCAACCAATCACCAGCAATCGAGCGATTAGGATTTACGCAGTTGTTCCTTTCTAGTTAAATTTCGATCAATCCTAACCACCAAAATTCAATATTCTACCATCAAAAGACTCATCGGCCTCTCATTTTTCAAAGTCCCAACAGCCTAGACCAAGTTTGATCTCTGCTTATCATCAAAATAAAAATTTGGATAATAAAATAGTATTTTAAAATCCATAAATAAAACAGGACTTTAATCTAAATAAATTAATTAAAGTAATAGATATAAAAATATATAGCATCGACACATCAGCCTATAAAAGATAATTGTATGATTAACTTGTTATACATTGGAATTACTCATCTTTATTCTTTAACACAAATTCTCTCTCTTTTGAATTTCAAAATTTAATCCATTGTATTAAACATTAACCATCCAACGTGACTGAAATAATATTGTGAGATATCATGCGATTGTATTCAAAGATTTGGTTGGGAAATGGGAATGGTGGGCATTAAATTAATTAATTTTCAACTTTAATGCAGCCCTAATTCTGACAAGTGGTTGTAGATAATTAGTGATTAGGTTAGGCTATAAGTATACCACTCAAATCAAAACTCCAACTAAAACCAAAGCAGCAAATTCAGGCCACCTTATGATGCCTGTTGTCATTTAGACTAATTAATAATAACTACCTTTCTCGAACCTTGAGTGAACTACAAACATTAAAGTGTATTATTTAAAAAATATCGAATTAAAGTTTTTTCTAAATTACTAATAAAAATAACTATCAGAGTTTTTATCTGTCTAATAATTTTATAATTTTAAAAAATTAATTGAGATACAAGAGGATCTCGACAAAATTAACCGTACCTCAATTAATTGAGGATGTATAAATACTCTTAAGAAAAAACTTAGAATAAAATCAAGTCAGTCATAGTCAAAAACACAGTGGGGTCCTCCATTAACAGCTACTATACAGAGCTTAATATATAATAATATAGGAACAATAGCAATAATAATAGCTTGGCCGCATAATGTTTCATGTTAACAGCGAGGCTTTTGCATTAAACCATAACCAATCCCATTCATTAAATTAGATTAAAAAATATGCATGGTCCACTCAGTTTTTGTTAGGCACACTGCCAATCCTTTGCGTTGGAGTCTTTTCAGGGTCATTTGATTAAAATTTTTTTATCAAATGCCACAAAGGAGGCTTCTAACTTCGAAGGATTAACAGTTTAATCCTTGGAACTTGAGGAAAGTAACAAAAACACCCAAAAGTTGATAAAATTTTAACAAAATCTCAAACTTTGTTACAAAAAGACTTTAATATCTTTTTTTTTTTTTAAGATCAAGAGTGTCCAGAGTACCTTACGCATACCTTAATTAAACTCTTGAGACCCTGAAACTATCGATCAGATAAGAACTCCAGTAACTATCCTTATTAATAACAGAGGAGGGATTCAAACTCATTATCTTTTTAGTAGTATACCTAAGGATTTCTATCAAATCACTCGACCACTTAAAGATAGTTAAAACTTTAATATCTTACTTCTTATTATACTTTCTTCTCCTATTTTTCCTTTATTCAAATTTTATTTAAAGTGTATAATTTAATTTAATTTTATATAATAAATTATTAATTAAAATAAAACATAAATCTCTTATCCAAAAACCTTAAAATTCTCCTTCCAAACCTATATTTGTTCTTTGCATATCATATAATATAGTTAAAGTAAAAATTGAAAGAATATTATAAATAGACAAAGGGCATTATAATATCTATATAATAAAATAAAGTAAATGTCGGCCAATTATTTGGGTGTATTTGTTGCTTTCCGAAATATTTGGGTGTATCAGAATCCCAAATTTTGAGGAGGAAATTGTTACTCTTCAAACTTCTGGTCTGTTCGTTTGGCCCAGTACTCTTTTTTTTCTTCATAATTGAAGTAACTCCGCCCTCATCATAACTTCCGTCCCGCTAAAGTTTACAAAAGCAAATGAAAAAGAAAAACACCACTTTTCCTCATAATCATAAACTCTGTTTAATTAGTAATAAATTTGATTGACATTTCTTAAGGAATTTCTAAAATCCCATAAAGGGTTTTCGGTAATTCAATGAAAAAAGAATGAAAAATGAAAAAGGCAAAGTTGGTAAAGACAAGAAGAGGAATGATGATGTTTTTTTTTTTGTTGGTAATAGAGAATATCAGATTAGTTTGCGAACACCTCAATTAATCTTTCGAAACCTTGAAATTAACGGTCGGATAAAACTTTTTAGCGATCACCCGTATTAGCGACCGAAGAAAGTTAAACTCAGAATCTCTGAAGTATTACATCCAAGAGTCCTAATTAACTGTTCGACAATCCAATGGTGGTTAATGAATGATGATGTTTAATTGCATAGAAATGGCTTAACGTTGAATTCTCACAGCAATCACATAATTGATCTTAATTTGGTTCGGGAATCACATGTAGTTTTTGTTGTTTATTGATGAAGTCTGTCAAGCTTCAACTTTATTGTCTCCCTCAATTATAAGACAAAAGCAGGACCACAAATTGCCCATGTATATTTTATGAATAATCAAATTAATAACAATAATAAAAAAATAAAAATGCCCAGAAGATTTTACCCTTGTGTTTATTAGCTGTCTGGACTTTAATTAGAGATGTCCAAATCTTAATAGAAGCTTTTAAAGAACTGAACATGATATCTGCCAGTAGAATTATCTTCTCAGATGACAAGAAAGCCCATGGTATATGGACGAAAATGCAGAGTATACCAAGAATTTACCAAGGTCTTTGAAGGGTATTTTGGTAAAGAAAATGGTATTGTTTATGTGTATGATTAAGGTATCACATGGCTAGAAATTACTCTCATGTGACCACATGTGTGGGACTCTTCCCATGTTATGATCCTGCAAGCAAAGCAAATAGAGTGAGTCAAACTAAACAAAAAGCTTATCTCTCTTGACCAGTCCAAATTAATAATCAATTGCCTAATTCCCTAACTAACACTTAAAACCCACAATCATAATCTCAAATAATATGATAACTTTATAATTACCCTTCTCTATCTAATCAAAAGTTTTTTGTTTACATGAAAAACCCATTGCTAATTGGGTAGTTCTTCTTCTTAATGGGATTTTTGGGAATAAGGAGACGAGAGGGAACGATTAGTAATGCATTCGATATGGATTTTTGGGTGTATTACTCAAGAGGTCTTCAGTTCAGGTCCCTCCTTAGTTATTAATAAGGGTAGCCACTGAAGCTCTTATCCAACCGGTAGTTTCAGAGTCCCGAGAGATTAATTGAGGTATGAATAAGCTGACCTGGACACCCTAGTCATTAAAAAAATAAAAATAAAAATAAAAGATGAAAAAAGGTATTTGTCTTTTATTTCCCAAGGCTTCCATGTGATGTTCCCATATTCTAAAGCACAACCTTAACTCACTTGTTTCGCCATCACCAGACCACTTAATTTTAATAATCTCACCGTCCAAAAACATTTTACTTACAATAAGAAGACAAATAGATTAAATGTTTCACTACAAATAACAATAAAGCTTCTTTCTTCCATTTATAAATCTCAACGTTCATGCACTTGTTCAAACCACATCTCTCCTCAAACAAAACCAAATCCAAAATGGTCCCTGTAGAAATTGTTCAAGCTACTGAAGCTACCACTAGATCCATTAATGAGCCACCCACAAGTCCCAGAATCTCTTTCTCTGCTGAGTTTCTTGATGAAAACAACTTCATTTCCATCAGCCCCCACACTGAAAACATTGAAAAAGACCAAGAAAGAGAGAGAGAAAAGGCCAGAATCAATGTAGACTTTGAGTTTCTCTCTAACAATAATGTCAGTAGCCACACCATGCTCACTGCAGATGAGCTTTTCTTTGACGGAAAGCTTCTCCCTTTTTGGCAAATGCAGCACTCAGAGAAGCTCAACAAGATCAGCTTGAAGTCAAAAGATGCGGAAGAAGAAGAGGTAAACAAAGAAGCGGCTGAACCTAGAGTAAGTTGGTTTGTTGATGATGACCCTTCTCCAAGGCCACCAAAATGCACCGTTTTATGGAAAGAGTTACTGAGGTTAAAGAAGCAACGTGCTTCTTCTTTGTCACCATCTTCTTCTTCCTCCTCGACATCATCTTCTTCAAGCTCACTAGCCGATGTGGCTACTACAGAAGCAAAGAAGGAAGGTGCTGGGAACAGAGAGAAGCATGTGAAGAGGATAAAGAAGGGGCTGGAGAGAACAAGATCAGCAAGTATCAGAATAAGGCCAATGATAAATGTGCCCATTTGCACACAAGTGAAGAGCAGTGCTTTGCCACCTCTATTTCCCCTCAAGAAAGGAAGATTAGAGAGGTGAATTAAAAAGATCACAAAGTTGCATGTAGCGGAATTTTCATCTCATATCTAGTATTGTCTAATATGTTCATTTCTTTAAATTTCATTCTACATTTGAATTTTTTTTTTTCTCTGTTTTCTCGTTAGATTAATGTTGATAATGTTGGATCAGATGTATTACAATGTAAATGCTAACTTTTATATTTATTGCATGGTATCCTCTCTTCTTTTTCTTTGCTTTTGTTTTCTTTTCTTGTGTTAATTGAAACAGCATTTCTCTGGCTGTCATGGATAGGAAGAAGTATGTGAGCAGTCATGCCACATGCAGGATGCAGTGATTCTGAATCGCGGGGTCCTACAAAAAATTAAAATCAGCCAGAGGCAGAAGAATCTGGTAAATGGGCTTAGCAGTTTGCACTAATGAATTTTGAATTATTTTTGGTAAAAGAGAAAGGCCTGGAGAGCATATGCTCTGAGTCTCCATTATAAATCAGAAAGGATGTTATCTTCTCTGCCCAAAGAGGAAATAAGTAAATGGCGGAGAGGTGGGCTATGCCTGTGTTAATCTGACCATACAGCTCAATTCCTCTTCTCTTTCTATAAAGGTGAGGGACCTCGATCTACTCTTTGCACGACAGAGTAAATCCTCAACTCATTTAAGATATTCAAACCCACATGGATCAAGTAAAATTAAGTGCTTTAGAATAACTAAATCTTACCCGAATCATCAATTAAGGAGATAAAAAGTCAATTTATGATCTCTAAGCATAGCTAACTGCCAGTGTCCAACTCAACTATCCTTATCACGTAAAAGACAATCAGAAGTTCAAATGCTGATAACTTTTTACCACCATTTTGAATGAAATAGTGATGGGTTTGTCAGGTAACAATGGAGGGTCCGTTTCAATAGCAGAGGAATTCAAACTCCCACAATATTACTTACAGAAAATAGCACATTTATAGGGTTGAACGCAATTTCACACACAGATGTCACAAAATTTTATCGACCTGTAAGTCAGATAACCAAGTGTCGGTCAAATGGCAGCCGAAGAAATTGAGAAAAAAACAAGTAAGGTATATGTTTATATCTGCTTCCAATTAGTGCAATCAGGTAAGCCACAAAAAGACAAAAAACAGCTACATCATACGGGGCGTACATTGTACAATCCTATACTTGGAACAGAAATATAAAAAATATAATATAATATAAAATTAAAAGATACCTTTACAATGACAATTGTGAAATACAATCTGAAAACAAGATCCATTTATCCCAAGCCCCAAAACAAAAAAAAAATTCCAGACTGACTGCATATGGACAACAATTACAAGTACACAATTATGGAGGCTCCAAATTGCATTCACGAGCTTTTACATGGTTAAACTAGAGAAAGCTAAGTATGAGAATTTAAATTCCTCATTGAAGCTAAGTAATCAAAATTTTCAAAACCAAATGTTATGGCCGGGGCTATTTATGTAGTTAATATAGATTCACAGAAGTGGCTGAAATCAAGTTCCGTGATAAATACAGTGCTGTCACCTTCATACCGAATGTAGTCATTTGCTCAATATGGTGGTGGAGAAGAAAGTTGATTTCCAGGAGAAGTCCTGATAAAGAAAGTTAAAACAATTAGCTTAAATTGGTAATTGCGAAGTTGTGAAAAATAGGACTTGCAAATATTAAACTCACTGAAGGTTTAATCCAGCTTTTCTAAGGAGGCTACTTGGAATTTGACCAGTCAAATTATTGTTTTGTAGGAATCTGAAAGACAAAAGGAACTCTGTCAGATACATGAAGAATCAAATCATAGACAATCCAGTACAAAACTCCAGATGGAAAAGAGATGCTTCAAACAACTGTCCAATTGTGTTGTCATGCAAAGCAATAATTGGAAAAAAATTATCTGGATATATAAGAAAAATAAAAACAAGCGTGCATTTGAAAAATATGGTAAAAAGCATCAACAATCAGAATAGAGGAAGGAACTGGCTTAATGTAAATAAATGAATTAATGGCAAAACAAGTCTAAAATTTAAACTTGTCAGAATCACTCTGTCAAATAACAAAGCATGGATCACGAAATACGTCAACTGGTAGCTATTCTACACAAACAAACGAGACTAGTAGATGTCCCGCAACGTTCATATGGCAAGTTATGGCCCTATGAACAAACATATCTTTTTTGCCAACATCATTCTCAACAAAACTTGTTCCTGCAATATCCTAAAAATTCCTCTAGATCAACCCATTATGGAGCTTCTATATATAAAAAATAATTATAACATAATTATAATAATAATTCTCATTATGATCTGAGTTAGAAACCACTCGTGATGCATCAAGTACCAGAAAGTTTTGAAGGCATAGAATAGATGGAGGAGCTAAATCATAGGAAATCCAAAACAGTGAAACATGTATTATCAAGTCAAAACCCAACTTAGACTCCATCCTGAATCAGTTATGGCATTAACTAAGGATTTACAGGATCGAAAGTGAGACGGTCTACATTTTAATTGGACAATGGTATTTCTATCCTATCTTCTTGCCAACTGACTTGCTGAAATCAAACATTTGTAAACATGTAATATTCAGCAAAGGAGCACTTAGTTTTCAAATTTCTTAAACTACCAGCACAAATTCCACTGTCAATTTTTTTATGATGCTTGCTTCCTGATGTTACTTTGTCATAGATACCCATTTAACAACTCAAACAATTGGGCTGGCCAGTGAGCCTTTTGTGGCTTGGGTAAAACTCTTATTAGAAAACCGGGTTGCCAAGAGAGGGTACCTAAAGCTCTTTATAACCCATATGTCCAGCCTTTTCCCTTCCAATGTGGGATCTTAACATTACCCCACGCATCGAGACCCAACATCCACGTTGGCCCACTCTGGACGGCTTCACTCTGGGTGGCCTACTGTCCTAGGTCGCCCCTTCCCAGGTAGCCCTTTCCAAGGTCACCCCTTCCAAAACATCGTTGGCCCACTTTGGACGACTTCACTCTGGGTGGCCTACTCTCCCAGGTCGCCCCTTCCCAGATAGCCCTTTCTGAGGTCACCCCTTTAGAAACATCGTTGGCCCACTCTGAGTGGCCTACTCTCAGAGGTCGCCCCTTCCTAGGTAGCCCTTTCCCAGGTCGCCCCCTCCCAAACATGGGCTCTAATGGAGTTTGGCTCTGATACCATTTGATAGAAACCCATTTAACAACTCAAACAATTGGGCTGGGAAGTGGACCTTTTTTGGGCTCGGATATAACTCTTCTTGGAAAACCGGCTTGCCAAGGGAGGGTGCCCTAAGCCCTTTATAACCCACATGCCCACCCTTTTCCTTTCCAGTGTGGGATCCTAACACTTTGCAACAACAATTTCTTCTCCAGCCAGTTCAAAATAAAATAAAATAAAATCAACAAGTTCTTGCTAGTATAGTATTGTCCTTAGGTCACCCAAATACCTAATTGAACATGATTAATACTTTTACATTATAACCAAAGTTCTCTCCAGCAAGCCAATCTATAGTCTTTCAAGTGCCTCAGGTACATTACATAGAGATCTAAAAGTTCAATTCGGATATGTCGCCTCATAAGGGATATTTATGGGGTATTTATGTAATCTATTGTTTCTGCAGTATGACATAAATGCTCACACATACTGTGATGTGAAGCGCTAATAATGGGCACCTTATTATTTGTATATTTGCCAGAAAAGCTGAAACACAGTCCAGTTGGGCTGGGATATGATAGAATGCAAAAATCAACTCTAGTTACCACCTCATAAATAAGGCTTCCACATGTTCAGCCATTAGTTTTAATGCTCCATACAGGTGAGTGTGTCTCTTTTACCAAAAAACAATATGATTTAGCATAGCTGCTGAAGCCATGGTATGCAAGTCGTATAAGGTGGGTCTGAAATATATGCAGAGAGAGGTATATGGACATTTGTCTAACCTCACATTAAAAGCTTATCTACAAACTGTGAAGAGATACAACACCAGAGATTTAATATATAATAACCATACCATTACAGTGGTTCTAGATTGAAGATTCTAATTAAAAGTCTCGGTATGTTTGAGGAAAGAATCCCATTATTTAAATAAATCTGAATTTAGCTGTGAAGGATCAATACTTCCTGAATACTTTGATTCAGAGACACTAATTGAAGATTCTGTAATTTTAGTAAAGAAGTTATAAGCATAGAAGACCTATAAATATACCATAGAACAAACAGGTTTATGCACTAAATTCCCTGCATTGTGATAGTTGTATGTAAGACTAAAGTAGTGTTTAAGTAGTCAGAGTAGAGCAATCATTAATAGCATATAATGATAAGGAGGAGAAAAGCCATGTATATTTTGTTGTGAGAGCATGACTTACAGTTCACGCAAGCCTGAAATGTTTCCAAGGGATTTTGGAATCTCTCCACTGAATCGATTGTCTTCCAAATGCCTTTAATGTGAAACAACATTAAATCAGACAATTGAACAGGCAGAAATATATAACAATCCCCAGATAACAAATGAATTACTGTATTATAAATGCAGGGATAATAAATTTCATGTTGCAATTTATGATAGCATTTTATATATTAACTCACTGATATATTCCATGTGCAATCAAATGGATCACTTAAAGCACAACAAGAAACACTAATGCAAAAACAGAAGAGAAGTAACAACATACAACTTCCCCAGCCTCGTTAAGGAACTGAGATCAGGAATTGTTCCAGACAAGTTGTTGTTTCCAAGCAAGCTGTCAATAACAAAAGATCATCTATCAGCAAATACTTATTTCTAAATTCCAGTAATTGGCAATTTTGTCTGACAACTTACATGCCATTCAGTGCTGACAATCTGGAAATATTGGGTGACAATGTTCCTGACAGACCCATATTTGTCAAATTTCTGGAAATTAAAAAAAAAAAAAAAAGAGAGATAATAGTAGATTATTAGAGACAATAACATAATGCAAGGATGATAACCACAGTAATGTCTAGTTCCAACTCACAAGGTAACTACACGAATTCGGCGGCCATAAGAGCATGTAATTCCAGTCCACGAATATAGATGGGGCAAACAAGGATCACCATTCCAATCAAGTGGAGGGTTCTGGAGGCTCTTCTTAAACTTTTCTAATGCTATTACTGCAATAAGATATGCAAATTTATGTAAGGGTTCCGGATCCATACCCAAAGGCAAAGTCATATGCAAGTCATAATGCCTAGTGCATGGCAGAATACATGATTAAACAATCAACTATCTAATTGCATGAAAAATCATTCTTCTTTTTTTTTGGTTCCCTCAATCATAAACTTCATTTCGTTATTATTTTGTTTAAATATGAGTTTCAACCAGGCACAAACAGGTCCTTGAAGAAGAATGACAGTTATATGGGAAAAAAAAAATTATTCACTTGTCCGATATATTTCCATACACTGTTACTTAACATACCATCTCGTGTGAGAGTTCTCCCTCCAAGGTCCAACAGATGAAAGATCTCCCCACCATTGATTAGAGGACCTTTGTTTGAACCAGCAACAGGAATCAAAGTAATATTAGTGGCACCCTTAAGAGGCCACTGTTTAGCAAAGATAACAGCACCATCTGGTTTCACACTCAGGTTTCTGTAGTACGGTACATGATTTATAATAATGTCAAACATCCTTGAGCCCCCAAGTGAGGAAGAATCAGGATTATCAGCAAAATATAGCGCAATGTAGTATCTGGAATTTGTAAGTAACACTGGAGGCCATATCAATTCCATGTGTTTTTTTGGGCCAGTTGCCAATGCAGTTTCAAATATTTTCTTAGGTGGAAGATTCCAGAAACCAGAAACAGATACATTTTTGTTTCCAGCTACCATATGGGCATTGTCTCCAAATGGCTCCCAATATCGATCAAATTTGTCATCAGGATATCTGTTTATACCAAAAAATTCAAAATAAGAGAAGGTATTCAAAATATCAAATCGGACAATCATGACTGTTATCTCATGAAACTTATTTAGAGTCCATTTGGAGTGCTCTGAAGAAAAGCAAGTTTCAGTATCCAAAAAGTGTTTATTTACTTATTTATTTTTAAGGAGCACATAGATCATTCTTTCTGTATGATTCAGGTTATTTGACATTAAACTTTTATCTTCGCAATAATTAAAATTTTCTGAGCTAATAAACTAATAAGCAAACTATTTTTCTTGCTTATGACAGCAAAAAATTACATTGATTTTGTTCCAAATTTACAACCCCCGTTTACATATTAACAAACCAAAGATTAAATTATTCCATATGAAATTAAAACAGATACCAAATTCTAATTAATACGAATTTAAAAACATTGACGGAAGAAACAAAATTATTAGCTTACTTGATGTTGTCTGTTCCATTGTATCCAAAGCTATGCCTGGAAACCAAACTGAGCGCATACTTGTTAAAATCCGTGGCGTTATAAACCGAATCTTCCAGAATCACAAACTCCAAAGCTGAAATAAACGGGTTAGAATCCGTATGATTATTTGATCCGATACACAAACTCATACTCTTCCGTTGAGCCAAAAAGACTCCCTCGTAATACGACGACAAGCCTTGCTCATATTCCGCAGTCGTATTGACCACGCTCCAGAAAGTCCCATCCACCATCTGATCGAACACCGGGGGAGAATCCCTGCCATTGACCTCTCCATAGTAGTACGTGGTCCTGACCATGTACCTCGCCCCGCGAAACACGGGAACTTCATAACAGAATTTGCAGTGAAGCTTGTTCGGAAATGATCGGACTGTGGAGAGAGTTTCTACCGTGACGGTAGTCGTGATGTTCTTGGGAGTCCCACTCGAGACGTAACCGGTGTCGGGAAGCCATTCGATTCCGTTAATTGTGGATCCCACCAGGGCACCGCAATCAATAAAAGTACCTAAACGAACCGTAGAGAATTGTAAGGAAAAAAAAAAAAAGAAGAAGAAGAAGAAGAAGAAGAAATTGTTAAATTAAAAGAAGAAGATTGGAATTACCTCGTGGGGACTGAGCGAGGGAGAGGGGGAGAAGAGAGAGAAGGGAAAGAAGGGGAAGCAGAAAATGAAGGGAGGGCATTGCGAAGAGAAAAGGTTGACATGAGAAAGATTTAGGGGGGTTTTCTGTTTAAGTGTTTGTTGAAGGGTGAACGGGTCTAAGGAGAGTTGGAGTTGAGTGAGTCATGGAAGCAAGGAATTGGAGTTGTGGAAGAGAAAGGAATTTTATTTTTTATTTTTTTTAATTATAGTTTATTTGGTCTTGACGCGGGAAAACTTTGGGCCAAGTCATTGACGCTGACGTTAGTTGTGCGCTGAGTTTGGCAACCACTAACCACACGCACAAATCCAGTATTTAACAATATTAATTTTACATTTATAAATAATTTCGAAAAAGATATTTTTCCAGTAAACATATTTTAAAATATAATTTTAATCCTTTTGCCTACATAAATTTAAAGTTTAACTGGNGCGAAGAGAAAAGGTTGACATGAGAAAGATTTAGGGGGGTTTTCTGTTTAAGTGTTTGTTGAAGGGTGAACGGGTCTAAGGAGAGTTGGAGTTGAGTGAGTCATGGAAGCAAGGAATTGGAGTTGTGGAAGAGAAAGGAATTTTATTTTTTATTTTTTTTAATTATAGTTTATTTGGTCTTGACGCGGGAAAACATTGGGCCAAGTCATTGACGCTGACGTTAGTTGTGCGCTGAGTTTGGCAACCACTAACCACACGCACAAATCCAGTATTTAACAATATTAATTTTACATTTATAAATAATTTCGAAAAAGATAGTTTTTTCAGTAAACATATTTTAAAATATAATTTTAATCCTTTTGCCTACATAAATTTAAAGTTTAACTGGGTTAATTATCGTCTATGTGTAAAATGTTAAATGTAATTAGATGGATAGGTAGCAAAAATGGTGATGGAAGAACGTCCAATTTGATGACAAAAATTCGGGCCCAAATTGTTTAGTTTCAATGTTAATACCAACAAATTAGTTAGCGTGAATTATGTTTTTTGGTTTTTATTGAGTGGGTCAACATAAATATGAATTCTAATATTATGTTGCTGTTACGAAACCATCCGTGTATACAGTAGATATAAGTGTAGCTTTACCTAATCCAATATTATGAATTCTTGACTGATTCTTCCCAACGACGGAGTAAATTGTCATTGTAAGGCAATTAAAATATATGTTATAGTAATATACACCAGTGTCAACCAATGTTCTTAAAACCTGACCGGCCTTGACTCGTTCAAGGGTATGGTTTTTGGTTTGATCGGTCGATTGGATCGGTCGGTTTGATCGTATTCTACAAAATTTTTTTAGTCCCTAAATGTTTGAAATTCATCAAAAACAATCCTAAATAATTACGCATGACTCCCTTGAGATTTGAAATCTATCTAAAATACCCTTGTTGCGCGAAGAGACTGGTACGTGGTGGCAATAGCGATGATCGACGACCAATTGAAGTTTGGAATCATGAGGCTTTTGATGTATAGGTGCCGACGAATCTTATGGCGGTGTCAAAGAGTTCTACCGGTACCGAAATTTTCCGGAATCAAGAAAGAAGGTCGACGGTTGCGTGAACAATGGTGGACAGCAATCGACAGCCAATGGAAGTTTGGAATGATGGAGCTTTTGATGTAGAGGTACCGGCGAATCTTATGGTGGTGTCAAGGAGTTATAACGACTTCGGAATTTTCCAGAATCAAGAAATAAGGTTGACGATTGCGTGAACGATTTGTGGACGACGAGCGACAAAAGGCTAGACAACGACCACTGAAAATGGATGGGTTTTGTTATGGATATGTTGTCAAGTCTTATGGTGGTGTTATCTCCCTCGAACGATGCCAAAATTCGGCAGGATTGAGTCTCGATTGGACCGTGATTCGACACTATTCCAACGGTCCAACCGCGGTTCAATCTGATTTGATTAAGAATACTGGTTTTCAGAGGACACTGAATCGAAGATGATGTCGGTTCCCAGTTGAACTGGTCCAGTCAGGTTTTCAGAACACTGGTGTCAACCATCAATGGGTGACTTGATGGTTAAAGAACAAAATGAAGTTTCATTATCCATGAGCTTCTTAGTTCGAGGCCTCTCGTGTAGATCTTTGGTCGTAGATCTAGCTGTTTCATTGATCTAGTAGGAAAATGTTAGATCGACACACTACCGGTTAGATCCAGCTAGTCGCACCCTATTTTGGTAACTTTCAGCCACCATCCGGGGGTGACGGCTGACTGTTAGCATTTAATGGGTGGGTGAAAGTGTTTTTGTTAATTTTAAAACTTTTATTGTAGGAGTGTTTAGCCAAATTAACAAATGTAGGGGATTAAAAGAAAATTCCAGAAAATGTTTTTCAAAAATTAACCAAACGCATTTTCAAATTCAAATCCTATTCCCGTAATAACAATCCAACTCAATATACTATTCTAAATACTCTATCAAACACAGTCTAATTTGTTATTATTAACCATATAAAATGTTCGTTAGAAACAAATTTAATTAGAAAATTTTCAGTTTTTAAGTTTATGATTTTGTAACAGTTTATCTTTAAACAGATTATTTTACACGATGAGTTGGAGGTATGAACTTGATAAAAGATAAAATGTTAAAAAATACTATTCAATTCCTTGTACAAGTTATTGACAGGAGTTTATAAGTTTTCTTTTATTATTATTATGACCAATTAATTGGAGGTTAAATGCTAAACATATGGTTATAATTGATAATCTCGGTAACATTGGTAATGTAAGTTTGAATCAAGATTTCAATTAAATGAAAATTAAAAGAATGACTCACCCCAAATTATGATTCACAATCATGTCAATATGTGTTGTTTTTAAGTCCAAGCGATCCCGTGTGGTATAACAATGGGGCAATTACTTATAGTTTTGATGAATTCATTACACTTACGTGAACAAGCAATATTTGGTTAAGAAAATTAATCATTAATCAAGATGCTAATTCTACTGTACATATCCCTAATCAATAATCATTTTTGGGTTAAACAAAAGGAAAACAATTTTTAATCAATAATTACTAATAAATTGCAAATTATATAATGGTTTATGTTTACACAGTAATTAACTACTCCCATTCATGAATCATGATTGTACTTATGCGCAACAATAATGGAGTTTTGTGTCTAGAACTACTAAATTATAAGCACTTAATTAATTAACTTAATACACTATCTTTTAAGATTTGGTTAATGGACAAACATGGGCCTAGATTTGTCAACACTTGTTGTGCCATACAGTCCAGCGCAGTTGAATATGGGGCCAAATTTTTGTGGGATGGTCCCATTCACGTCCCTTCATCTTATAATTCCACCTTTCATTGGATTCTCCCCAATCTAAATAAATGGCTAACTTCTAAATACATACCATGACATCGACTTTAGAGGACCTCCACTCCTCAACCATTACTCTAGGACTCCTCTGAAAAAGGGTAATGTTATATATATAACTATTCTCTATAAATTACCGTGTAATATTATATATATAAACTATTCACTATAAACTGCCGTGCCAATCTTATATGTTTGCCATATAATTATTTTTAATTATTTAGTTATTTTTTAATCTAAAGTCATCAAATCATATTAAAACATGTTAGTTTGTATATGAATTATTAATTTATTATCATTTAGAAAATCTTATATAATATTATTATATCTCGATTTTTTATATAAATATAACCACTAATATATCTCTTGTGTGAATGATTTGTTCATAATACATATCTATGAAGTAGCCAAATAAGGATTAGATGATCTTATTATTGTAAAGTTATTAACTTGAACAATCAAAACATGATCAAGAGGGGTTCGAACCACTTTGAGGTCACCTATTACATTTATAGCTTATCCTGAAACATTGAGACTATAAGATATTCAATGACATCGTGGATTAGTTAAGGTATACGCAAACGGGTCTACGATTATTAAAAAAAAAAAAATTGATCAGAATTTAAACATAATAATCTTGTTTGAAATCACCGAAAAACAATTTTATGAAATAATCAGAGTTGTGTTAACTTGCCTATGATTAAATCTTTGTCACCCATATGCATTCTTAAATAAAATTAAATCGTATATATTTAAATAAAATGAATTAATAATTATTTTGTTTTTTACAAAATTAGTCGAAATGATTTGACTAATATAATTTCGTTAAAATACTTTGCTAAACCAGTACTTTAAGGACGGGGTATCGAACATGCCTTTCTTTTCTTGCTTTTGTAATTAAACTCGTTTCCTCAGGAATACATGAATGAACCTAATTAATTTGAAATTTGGCTTAAAAGAATATACGTGAAATCATTCACGAATTGTGAGCACGATGACATGATTCAAACACAAAATCCAATACGGTACACCTCCAAATCCATACAAACGTGCACCATACAGGGCCCCACCATTAAAAAAGTGGACCCTCGTATTTGTCATGGGCCCATCCTTCCACCCACTATCTAAGCAAAGTATGCGCATGTTAGCCTTTTCACCCATTCCGGCGGGAGCGCACGATAGCCTTTTATTTATGTGTTTTTTTAATCTCAGAACGGAAATTACGTGGCCGGTCCAACCTTTAAATCCGACACAACAAAAGAAGAGAAAAAGAGTATTTGAGAAATACCTAAACTACCCTTACTCACTCATCCGTTTTCAAATCTCAGTTTCATTTGTGATCACACTCCTCTCTTTCGCTTCTCCAGTGTCTTTAATTGATGGATTCGCAGAGACGCCATGACCAGAGCGTCCCCGAGAGGAAGGGGCAAAAGCGGAAACTAGAGGAGGANTTCCACCCACTATCTAAGCAAAGTATGCGCATGTTAGCCTTTTCACCCATTCCGGCGGGAGCGCACGATAGCCTTTTATTTATGTTTTTTTTTAATCTCAGAACGGAAATTACGTGGCCGGTCCAACCTTTAATTCCGACACAACAAAAGAAGAGAAAAAGAGTATTTGAGAAATACCTAAACTACCCTTACTCTCTCATCCGTTTTCAAATCTCAGTTTCATTTGTGATCACACTCCTCTCTTTCGCTTCTCCAGTGTCTTAATTGATGGATTCGCAGAGACGCCATGACCAGAGCGTCCCCGAGAGGAAGGGGCAAAAGCGGAAACTAGAGGAAGAAATAGTTATCGAAGATGAACAACAGCAACAACAACGAGAGATCTCTTCTTCGTCTTCTTCTGTACCTCCCTCCGATGCGCGACAAGCGTTATTGTGCGAGGTTAGTGCGCAGGTTAATATCCTTAACACCGCTTTCTCTTGGCTGGAAGCTGATCGCGCCGCCGCCAAACGCGCCACTCATGTCCTAGCCGAGCTCGCCAAAAACGGTACGGCACCTTTAAAAAACCGAACAGGTCATCGATCTCGCTTTATTTGCAGTTGATATATGCAAAAATTTGTTGTTTACTGTCGCAGAGGAGGTTGTGAACTGGATTGTTGAAGGTGGAGCGGTTTTGGCTTTGGTGAAGCATCTACAGGCGCCGCCGACAACTGAGACTGACCGTGGTACAAAGCCGTTTGAGCATGAAGTCGAGAAAGGAAGCGCTTTCGCCCTTGGTCTTCTGGCTGTAAAGGTGATCTAATTATTATATTTTCTTCTGGTTGTAAATTCGTGGTTAAGTTATAGTGATTAATATTGTTAACTGGGGAAATATTTGTAATATATTTGATTTTTCAATGAAATTTTGGGAAAATTGTATAGATAGTTGGAATTTACTATAACGAGAAGTGAAGATAAGATGTTGAGAATTGAATTATTTAGATAGCAAAGAAGTGCTTTTTTGTTATTATTGTGCATTATAGTTGCTAAGGCCGTTTGTAAACTTGTTTAGTTGTTGTGATGACAGTTGCATGCACCATTTTATCTTATATTGGATTTTGAGGAATAGTATTATCATCTTGATGAGGCTAAAAAAGATTAATGCAATTTATTTTTCATGAGTTGCAAACTCCGATCATAGTTATAATAAAGTATATGTATATGTGTATATATTATATGTGAGAGGGAGAGAGGAGAGGAAACCAGAAAACATGAAAAAACTTGGAGAAATGAAAAAAAAGGAAATGGAATTTTATGTTTTCTTAGATAGAGAAGAAAAACAAGGGAAAAAAAACTGAAGAACTTCATTGAATTTTATTCATGGTCATTGTCATAGCAAACTACATGAAATTATAACTTTGAAAAACATTAAAATTTGCTCTGTAAATCGGCCACTACCGTGATAAATTTTCTGCCAACTTCCCTTTATTTTCCCAACTTCCTATAATGTTCTCTTTTCCCAGTATGTTCCACAGTAATTGAAAAAAAAATGATTTTCCTTGTACTTTGCTCCTTGTATCTCTTTCCCCAAGATCAAAGCACAGTTAAATTAGAAAAAAAATTTGTTTAAGCATATACTAGTGATTTAAGTAGTTTGCTGGGAATATCTCAAATTTTTTTTTTTTTTTTTCTTTTTAATCACGCCTCCTCTCCTTTTCTCCTCCGCCTTCCTCCACATTAGTCATCCGTAAAATGAAAAGGACTAAAGTGTAAGTAAAAGGGTTCTACTTTGATGAGGATGCTATTTTCCTTTGCATTTTTTAAAAGTCTTTTCAGAGTCTTAGCTGTATGTTATAGCCAATATTGTTATTTTCAATAGGTTTTACATCATTTGATGACTATTCTTATTATAATTGCAATAAATTTGGATGGTGAAACTTAAAGGGAAGTAGTCTATACCATATCACTGGACTGCTGATTATTGTTTGTTTCGATGTTAACAGCCAGAGCATCAACAACTTATAGTTGACAATGGGGCCTTGTCACATCTTGTGAATTTGCTGAAGAGGCACAAGGACAGTTGTGGTTCCCGTGCTGTCAATAGTGTCATTAGAAGAGCTGCTGATGCTATCACCAACCTTGCTCATGAGAATAGCAACATTAAAACACGTGTCAGGTTTGCCAATTTTTGTATGTTTTAGTTTTGAGTCTGCTATTTAGCAATTGTTATCATATTTATTGATTGGTCATCTGGAATGGATAAGCAGGATGGAAGGTGGGATTCCACCTCTTGTTGAGTTGCTTGAATTTACTGATACAAAGGTGCAAAGAGCAGCTGCTGGGGCCTTGCGAACTTTGGCATTTAAAAATGATGAAAATAAAAATCAGGTGATTGGCCTTTCTCTAAAAATTGCATTTTGTTAGGTTTGCTTTGGCCTTTATAAATGATAAAAATACTATTGTTGGCAGATTGTTGAATGCAATGCTCTTCCTACCCTCATTCTAATGCTTCGATCTGAAGATGCTGCTATTCATTATGAAGCAGTAAGATCTTATTATAATAACTTCCTTTTTAGTTTGTGGAAATACTTCAATGTGATATTTTGTATTTGCACTTCATATTGGATGTAGAATGAAATAGTTTTTGATGATTTGCAGGTTGGAGTGATTGGAAATCTTGTACACTCATCCCCAAATATTAAGAAAGAAGTTCTTGCCGCTGGAGCATTGCAACCTGTTATTGGTTTACTTAGGTATGTATAAGTTTCATTTCCCCCCCTTTTGTTTTTTCTGCAGGATCCTTGTGATGCCATTCTCATACATTTGCAGAAGCTTTTCTATTTTAGTTCTTATTTTACATATTATCTAGGGTCTTTTCCTTAATAAATGCGTTAAGTTTTATTTTCCTTTTGTAAATTATTAAGTTCATTTGTCGGATGACAGCTCCTGCTGCTCTGAGAGCCAAAGGGAAGCGGCTTTATTACTTGGACAGTTTGCGGCAACTGATTCTGATTGCAAGGTGGATAGAGATTGCCTTATCTTTTATCTTATGTTTCCTTTCTAAAATTCAGGTTCTTCTCCAATGTCTGTTGGCTATTAAGATGGAAGGATGTAATTGAAACTGAATCTCTTATAGTGGAAAATGGAAATATCAAATAATTCAAGTTCACCTTTCTTTTTCACTGTCCTTCTTCAAGGATTATTTTTGATCTCCTGATAGCTTATCCATGGTCATGAGTGTGCTTTTCTCATCCATCCATGATTTTCCATCAATTGTTATTTTATTTCTTTGCCTTGTATCTGTTTTCAATCTTGAAGGTGTAATTTTTGCAGGTTCACATTGTACAGAGGGGTGCTGTTCGGCCTCTAATTGAGATGCTCCAATCACCTGATGTGCAACTGAGAGAAATGTCAGCCTTTGCCTTGGGGAGGTTGGCACAGGTTGTTATATTTTGAATCTTACTTTTCCTTATCTTAGTCACCCATCATGGGTGCTATTAGCATTGTAGATCAGGCTTTCTAAGATAGTATAATGACTCTAGATGACTATATTGCTTGTGTAGTCACATTCTGTTTGGCTTAAAGCAGTTTTTGAATTCAGGACACACACAACCAAGCTGGAATTGCTCATAATGGTGGTTTAGTGCCATTGCTGAAGCTTCTTGATTCAAAAAATGGTTCTCTGCAACATAATGCTGCATTTGCTCTTTATGGTCTTGCAGATAATGAGGTATGCTATGGTTTTATTTTTATTTTTTATGAGTATTACAACTGAGTTCATATTTTATTGTTTTTACAAGTTATTAACACTATTTCATTGGTACAATTTTCTTTCATAGGATAATGTATCTGATTTTATTAGGGTGGGAGGTGTGCAAAAGCTTCAGGATGGAGAATTTATTGTTCAAGTACGTTTGTCTCTTTATTTTTGAAAAATTAGCTTTGGGATATCTGTTCTTTTAATTGTCTTTACATACGTCAAAGAGTGATTGTTCATCCTTTTCCCTGTTGAACCAACTGTAATGAGTATATAAATAAATATTCTTGCAGGCAACCAAAGATTGCGTAGCAAAGACATTGAAAAGATTGGAAGAGAAGATTCATGGACGAGTGAATATTTTCTTGCCAATCTTTTACTTTTATATCATTGAAATATTATCCCATTTGTTCTGTTTCTGGTTAAATGTTTCAGTGGGTTCTTGTGTTAAGAGAGTGTCATCCCCTGCTTCCTTTTATGTAGGTTTTGAACCATTTGTTATATATGATGCGTGTGGCAGAGAAGTCTGTCCAAAGACGAGTTGCTTTGGCTCTTGCTCATCTTTGTTCCCCTGAAGATCAGAGAACTATATTCATTGACAATGGTGGTATGTGCATTCTTAGTTATATTCTTCACTAATTATACATTTGCATTTTTATTGTTGATGGGAATTAAAAGTGTTGTGAAGTTTGGGTTCAGATGTTCTTGATGGATTGAGATGCTTAGCACACTCAGTTTATAGTTCTTTTTTTTTTTTTTCCCTGTAGGATTGGACTTGCTTCTTGGGCTTCTTGGTTCTACGAGCACTAAACAGCAACTTGACGGTGCTGTGGCTCTTTACAAGTTGGCCAACAAGGCAATGACACTTTCTCCCATGGATGCAGCTCCCCCGTCTCCAACACCACAGGTAAGCTGTCAAAGCTGTTCATTTTGTTCCATGGCCTTTACATATTTAACTTTTAACGGGGAGGGAAGGTTCACTGTTCCACATCAAAAAATGATTATTTTGCATGCTTGCAAGCAACCATAGAAGTTACTGAAGTATAGTTGAGGAGGTTGTGGTGACTTTCTAACCTGGTGCTATAAAGCCTGTAATGAATTGACTCAGAGATTTCCCTTCCCCTTTCCTACTCCGACCATTTAAACACTCCAAAATCTGGCCCCGTCAGATCTAGTTGAGACATTCAGAGAGAGATGACAGTTGAACCACTACTACATCTTTGTCTTATTATTTTACCACTGGACTTGTGAATAAGCTGTTCACGTTTGTTGACTTGACATCAATGCCACAATATATCTCACTTTCAAGATATTTAAAATTTGTTATAGCAAAGGAAAAAAATGGCTTTGAGCAGTTCCTAGAATTTTTCTTTTTATCTAGTTAACTTTTGTTTTCTAATATATTTGATGGAAGATTTTAAGATTTTTGAGTTTGACCCAGTTGCACTGGTAAAGGCTTTTAAATCTCTGACATGCATTTAAGACTAAGGTTAAATTATCTCTTTTCTAAATGATTAAAGTATTTCTTCTTGGTGCAGGTTTACTTAGGCGAACAGTATGTAAACAGTGCTACCTTGTCAGATGTTACCTTTCTAGTTGAAGGTTGATTGTTATATTTTTAATACTATTGACTTCAGCTCACTTAATATTTGGAACCTTTTGGGGAATAATTGAATGGTTATCAGGATAAAAGTTCTGTTAGTATGAATCCCTTCTTTCAATCTAAATTTTCATCTTTTGCTGCAGGTAAACGGTTTTATGCCCATCGAATATGTCTACTTGCTTCTTCAGATGCATTTCGTGCAATGTTTGATGGTGGTTACCGGGTGTGTTTCTGTATATAATGCTTTATTCATTTCTATTTTGGGGTTGAGGTGGGGTGTTGTACGGTTTCATAATGTTGGTTATGGGAGAATTGCACTGTTAATTCTTTGGTTGTGTGAATGATATGAGATATTCCCTCTACTGCCCATGGATTTTGTGCTCAAAATTTATCTGACCCAAACTTTTAACTAAGACATGTTTTTAGTAAATTACAGCTTAAGCAATCAATTGTGCATTTGTCTTTAAATCAAAACCGAAATGCACATTAAATGACTGAAAGCATTGACACCTTAATGATATGCATATTTTAATCAGTTTATGTTGGCATTTTCTTGCAGGAGAAGGATGCTAGGGACATTGAAATTCCTAACATTAGATGGGAGGTTTTCGAGTTGATGATGAGGTATTTGAATTCTGTGCCTTCCAGTTTCTTACAATTCCTTCCCTGTGAGCATTTCTAATTTACTGCATTTGTCCTGGAACAGATTTATATACACCGGATCTGTAGATGTTACATTAGATATTGCACAAGATCTCCTCAGAGCTGCTGATCAGTATCTCTTGGAGGGACTTAAGCGACTCTGTGAATACACAATCGCGCAGGTGAGCTACAAATGCTGGTTTCTATTTTTAGGTTAAGTGCTGCTTGTATATTGGAAGTGATTGTCTTATGAATATGCTATTTTTATTTTTAGGATATATCGTTGGAAAATGTTTCTAGCATGTATGAACTTTCAGAAGCCTTCAATGCTATATCATTGAGGCACACATGTGTCTTGTTCATCTTGGAGCAGTTTGATAAACTGAGTGCAAGACCCGGGTATGTTCTTTTACCATTCTGGCATGTTCCTGATCTTGTCTTCTTTGCTTTTTTAACTTAGAACTTCTGTTGTTTTCCACTTCTGTTGTTTGATGGAGAGGAAAAAATTTTAAATATTGATGTAGTTGGGTGTGTTAAGGTAAGTCAGCCGATTAAAATGTATTAGTTATGTAATAGAAAATTTAATAAGGTGGACATTGTAGATATATTTTCTTTGCAATACCTAGATTGGGAAATAATTGATTTCGCTGTCACTGGGGAGGAGAGTTCTTGTAGAACCTGGTCATATTGAATCTGTTCACTGAAATAAATGACAGTAATTACCTTTTACTGTTAGAAGATTTTGATGTTCTTCTAGTAATAAATTTGGCCTTTCCTTATTAACTGGTTTATACGTTGTTTTATAAATATAATAATTTTTTTTTTTGAATTTTCTTTTTATCCATCATGCAAGAAGTTTCGTGTAATTATCAAGTGTTTAAGCTATGGGAGGAAGTAAGTTGTATGAACGGGAGCTTGCATGGTTGAATAAGCTTACACTGATGTTGATTCAAGCAGTAGAACATGGGGTGTCCAAATGACATCTTTGCAGATCATATTTTTCAAATGAATTTTGCTTCAGCTCATAAAAAATAATGACAGTGATCTGTTCTACTGTCTTGATTTCCTTTTGAAATTCTGAAATGGATAATTCTCCTGTGGAGTGAAATGAGGAGATTTTCATGACTGCTGCTATAACATGTTATCATCATTGGCTGAAATTATCTGCATGATGACAATTCGCAGGCATTCCCATCTGGTCCAGCGTATTTTACCAGAAATCCACAATTACTTTGCGAAAGCTCTCACTAAACCTAACCAACATATGCGGCTATAGATGGCCAGTCATTGATTCTTCAACTCTAACTAGATACGGTGTACAGAAAGTAGTAGATCTTCTCACTGTTATCGAGCCAATTACAGATTCTAATTGGGTGGCTCATAACCATTCCTGATGCCAGAGGTATGTTGTTTGTAGACTCACTGTAAGTTTCTTTCTGCGGGCTCATAATCATTCCTGTCCCTGATGCCAGAGAGTTATGTTGTTTGTAGACTCACTGTAACTTTCTTCTTCAAGCCCTTTGTCTTGGGTTGGGGTATTGCGCCTTCACAAAACATTATTGCTTTTCATGGATTGTGATGGTTGTAAACTCAGAAATGTATTTTAAGAACTCTTCAGTGAGAGATGTATCTTTTGCATGTGCAATAAGTAGGCTTCTTGTCTGCTGGATTCGATTCTTATCAAAACATATCTCCATTTGTGTTAAGTGTCAACTGTAATGTTCAAATAAAACAAAATTCCATGATAGAACAAGTATTATTTGGATGAAGCTTTTAGTGGGTTGAGGGGATTTTGTTGGGTTAACACAACAAATATTCGTGGTAAACCTCTCCAATTGACGAGTTGCCAGGGATGTGATTCTCCACCTTCTATGCGTTAACGGGCATACATGAGGACCATAAATGGACAAGTGAATATTTTAATGTATAACTAACTGTCAAAGACTCAAACCCCAAAGCTTATCTCAGTAATAATAGAATATACAAATTTGATAGTCTTCCCCTCCCAACCATCCCTTTCCGCTCAGCACCTAATTTTCAGAAAAGAATGTTGACATTAGGGCAACGGTCAACTTATTTTGGCCGGTATGACTGTGAGTAGGCTTTGCACACTATAAAACGCAATGACACATGGGTGTGTCATAGTTCACCAACATCAAGCCAGTCAAAAGATATTTTCTAGCTTTCTTCCTTCACACTTGACACATTTCTCCAATCTCTCAATATGGGTTCCATGGACAAGGAAGTAGTGTCAGAACTTCCCCCGTTTTTCCGTATTTACAAAGATGGATCGGTTGAACGAACAAGAGGCTCTCCGATTGTGCCACCATCGCCTGAAGACCCAGAAACTGGAGTCTCATCCAAAGACATAACTGTTTCTGAAAAACCTAAAATCTCAGCTAGAGTCTATCTTCCCAAACTCACCCAAGTCACCACCCAAAAACTCCCAGTCTTGGTGTATTACCATGGTGGAGCCTTCTGCATCGAATCTGCCTTCTCTTTAGTTGAAACTAAACTAATGAACACGTTGGTTGCTGAAGCCAAAATCGTTGCAATATCAATAGAGTACCAGCTAGCTCCTGAAAATCCTATCCTTGGGATTTATGAAGATTGCTGGACGGCTCTCCAATGGGTTTGTTCCCATTCTCCTGCTGAAGGTGGCAATAAGGAGCCATGGTTATCAACTTATGGAAACTTTGAAAAAGTTTTCATCGGTGGTGATAGTTCAGGAGGCAACATTGCGCATAATATACTCATGCGAGCGGGCAAAGAAAGCCTGCCTGGTGGTGTAAAAATTTATGGAGGTCTTCTTACACACCCATATTTTTGGGGTTCCAAGCCAGTTGGGAGAGAGGTTACCGAAAACAGAGAGAAGATTGTGTCTGATCAAGTTTGGAGGTTTTTATATCCAACTGCACCTGGTGGTATTGATAATCCGATGATGAATTTCAATACCCCCGATGCGCCAAGCTTGGCTCAACTTGGGTGTTGTCGGTTGCTGGTGAGTGCTGCTGAACTGGATGAGCTGTGGAGTAGATGTGTTTTATACTATAACACAGTGAAGGAAAGTGGGTGGAAAGGAGAGGTAGAGTTTGTTGATGTGGAGGGCGAGGAACATGCCTTCCATATCTTGAATTATGAGTCTGAAAATGCGAAGAAAATGATCAAACGCTTGGCTTCTTTTCTTATCAAGTAGACTCAATCATCTTTTCCTTGACTTTCTACAAATAAACAGGTTAAGGATTTAGGGATTTACAGTCCCACCTTGAGTTTCCCTTCTACTTTTCAAAATTTTACAGCTTGTGATTGTAATTTAGCTAAGCGTTTCATGTTTAATAGTATCCAGATTCTTGTTCTTAAAGTCTCTACTTTGTGGAGAACTAGATGCTTTGTATGATGATAAGATTGCATTGCCTTTTTTTCCCAAAACGTTTTGAGGGATTCTTATCAGAACTCTCTGTCGTTGATTTTAATCCCTGGAAATTTGGCACATCTGTGAGTACATCGTTGCCATATGTCTGGTCCAGATTTGCTTAGTACAAAGATAATTTTTAACCTGAAAGGGATGTGGGTTAAGTAGATATTTTTTTGAATATCCAGACAACGACCATTCATCCATCATTTAGGCTTTGTGCGTTGGTGAATCCTTATAGGGTTGCCTTTATTTTTAATAAAAAAGTGGCAATAATTTTACCCTAAAGGGCGCCTCTACGAATAAAGTGGAAAAGAAAAGCGGGAACGTGGCACATGATTCTCTGTATATAGTCAAAAAAAAGTAGAAAGAAAAATAAAAAATCATGAACATGACAGCTATAGTTGAACAAACTTTTTTTTCTTTTGTTTACTTTGCGATACTTATGAAGGGGAATGTTATAGTATTGTCGGAGTAAGTTCTACAACATTTGGCATAGCCTTGCATCTAGTATTTAAAGGGTTTATAATTATGAGTAAAAAACTTTTTCCACCCAAATAATTTGCTTGATAATACTTTCCTATCCAAAAAATTTTAAAATATAATTTTACTATCCAAACGTTATGTTATTGTAATAATTTCTATTAAATATAGTGATATTCATTGTCAAGATGAAAATATCATTCTCTTCTCTTCTTAGTCTCTTCCATTGTCGACAATTGTTATCGACCTTCTGTCGAACGGCTAGTGTGCACATTGGGAATGTGGAAGGTGAGACTGTCGACGACCGAAAAATCAACAAACAAACCACAAACACTTCAAATAAACATTTTTCAACTGTTTTTCAACCCACCAAGCACAAAAAAGGGAACGTATCAAACCCAATTCATCAATCAAAGCTAAAAAAACCCTAAGGTTCAATCGCTGATGATTGGTGAGCAAATGAGATCGGGAATGTTGAGGCATTTTGAGAGGAAGAGCCAGTGAGTCGATTGGTGGTGATAGGGACAATTTTTGGTGACGGAATCGACCAGAAAAGAAAATGGCATGCAAAACCTAATCGAGTTTCTGGTTGACAAACGAAGGGCAAATAGGGGTGGGACGGTAGTGAGTTTTGGCAAGGGAAGTGAGGGGAGTGTTTTGGTGGTGGTGGGAGAGATTGGCGACACTAGAAAAAGGCTGATTTGGCCTTGGTCGGTGGTTGAGCAAGGATGGGTTTTTTCGAGAAGAAAAACGCAAATCTGTCTCGATTAAGGACAATTAGGCTAGGGAAAAGGCACAATCGATGAATGGGAGAAGATTTTTGTCGAGTTTTGTGAGAAAACTAGTTGAAATCAGGTTGAACCAACGTCGATTTCCCGTGACCCACGCCCACAGCGCGATTGTCATTTTTAGGCCATTTCGGCTTGAATCCGGTGCCTTGAGCCCTCCCACCACCACCCCCACCACCTACTCCTCATCACTACCTCATCAAAACCCCTCCCACTCCCATCCATCTAACCCCTCCATTCGCTGACCACCACACATGGTGGGTTTGAACGATTCTTTCCTTTTCTGGCCGCTTCCGACGTTGAAAATCCCTTTTGAGACCACCAATCAACTTCGACCTCCCATTTCCAAAACCCCCTGACCTTCCCTATGTGAATGCATGCTGTTTGCTGCTCTCCACGACCTAGGGTTTTGTTTTTTTTTTATCAATTTTGACGACCAAAATTTAATCTTTCACCACCCTTTCAACCTCTAACCTCTCCTCTTCAAAATCCCTCAACCCCTGACACTTGGTTACTCGTTGTTCGTTAGTTAGGAATCGCCACCCTCCTTTCGTTGTTCTCTGTTTTCTCAGCAAAGTAGAATTTTAAAATGACCATTATGTCCTTACTTATAATGGATTTTTGACTATCCTGCTATTCTTCACAACAAAATTTACTAATGAAACTGTACTTTGGATAGTAAAGTTGCATTTTGAAACTTTTTAAGTGAGAAAGTGTCATTAGACTCTTATTTGGGTGAGAAAAAGTCGTTTACTCTTATAATTATTTATTATAAAAAATTAAAAAAAAGTTAAAGTCGTTTACTCTTATAATTATTTATTATAAAAAATTTAAAAAGAAGATTTTGAGGCCCGAGGGTTTGCCGGTTTGGATGATAAATTGTGTTGTTGAAATTGGGATGAGCTGTTGGCAGTTGTTGTTGACCAGAGATGAAATTAAGTTGCTTTTATTGTTTTGAAAGTTTGTAACTCGCTTTCCTCTTTATAATATTACGTGATAATATTGCGTCGTTAATTAACTTACAATAAAAACTTCCACAAAAATACAGTCTCCATCTTCTCAAAATGGCATATAAGAGTACCGCAATTCTAGAAACACATCGTGTTTCGGGATCATCTTAGTTTTTTTGGTAATAAAGTCTAAAAGAATGGTGAGATCTTGGCACATGAAACATGAATGATTCTAATTTTTTTATTTTTTTTTTAGTATAATAGTTAACTGATAGTTTATTATTGTACAATTTTTCCTTGATTTAAACTTAGATTCACTTTGCTATATTTTTCATAAATATTAACTGTTACTGATAAAACCAAGTTATTTCTAATCTGGGTAAAAAGAAAAATGGGATCTTGGGGCTTTTCTCAAGGGAAATACAGCAATTCCATGTTACCTGAAACATAAGTAGCAGTGGTCAGTAAAACTACATTTAATTAAAATTTGAAATCAGTGTAGTGAAGTGTAATTATAATTAAGGCCACCCAGAGTCCACAAAAGCAGTCAATAATGAACTTAACACATCTCTTAACACCTGAAGATTACAAGTAGATAAATTAAGTAATCAATTCAAGATGATTGATACACACTGCTCCATGCTTTTCAAAATAATGGTCTATATATATATATATATATATATATGCACTGAATGCTACGCATGACTTCCAAGTTTTTGACTTGTATATAATGATATTGTTGTGGTGCTACACAACTTAATTGGTGTAGCCGCCCTCTCTTCTCTACGCGTATCCCTCTCTCAATTACCACCTAATTTTGAAAGCAGAAATTTTGATAATATTGTAATTATGGTACACAGAAATTGCAGTTTGGGCTGCGCAGATTCATTCTACAACAGTCCATCTTATGTAATTCTTAGTTCATTCTGAAAAATTAATTTCTTGGTCTTCTTCACACAATCACAATGGGTTCTGTTGCCAAGGAAAT